CTGAGAGGTCCAAAAGCACCAACAGGGTCACACTACCCCTGTCGATGCAGATCATCAACCAAGGCAACCATGGCAGTCTCAACTCCAAATCACATCCTAAAGCCAGTTTGAAATGGGTCTAGATAATCGGTATCATCCAAGACAGCTTGAAGTTGAAGAGCAACCTTGCTCAAAAATGGTAGCAAAGAGACTGGCCTATAATTGTTCATTTCCAAGGGGTCCAGGGAAGGTTTTTTCAGAAGTGGCCTAACAGCCGCTTCTTTTAAGCAAGATGGAATATGACCCTCCCTGAGGGATGCATTGAGGATGTCTGTGAGAAACATCCTTAATGCATCCCCCCCCACCGGACGGCCAGTTATGATGGGCAAGGATTGAGAGGGCAGATCGTTTTCCTCACTCTACCAAGGAGCTTGTCCACGTCATCGGTACTCACAGATTGGAACTGATCCAGGATAATTTCGTTAACGGAGTTGCTGGACACCTCATCAATTGTTTCTGCCAAAATACTGGCATCTAAGTCGGCTCTTATCTGAGAGATTTAATCTGCAAAAAAGTTGTTAAACGTGTCACAGCAGGCTATTGTCGGGTTAAGCAACGGGTTCTGCACAGGTGGGACCTGCGTCAGCTCCCTTACCACCCTAAACAGCTCTGCTGGACGAGACTCTGCAGACGCAATACGTGCAGAGGAGAAGGATCTCTGTGTTGCACGCCTCTTGATAGGACCAAAGGAAGTTCCTATGATGAGTCTTGTCGGATAAGAGTTGAGTCTTCTGCCAGGCGCAGAATAAGATAATCACCCAAAATAATAAGATAATCACCCAGGAAGTCTCCATGTGTTTTACTTCTACATCTCACATGTTTTACTTCTACATCTACCAAAATATTCCTGATGCAAACACATGGAGACTTCTTGAGGAATCCATTGTTCTCTGCCACTAAGAAGCCTGTGGCCTCACTGAAATGGAGACATATTGGATTGCAAAAGAGGGGTTCCTGTTGAGATGCAAATGGATTTTAAATTTCCTGGCCTTTGCAAATCTTCCTATAGCCACAGGACCAGAAGGAGAAGGATCCTGCCTACAGAAGATATCCTCCCCACCATATACCATCTTAACTAAAGACTGAAACAACATGTAGGCATCTAACATCTCCAATTATTTTTCTCCTGTTTGGTTTGTAACATCTTGCCTGATGAAGAAGAAGCCTATGGAGCTTCGAAAGCTTGCAACAAGTATATTGTGCATTTTGGTTGGTCAATAAAGGTATCACTGTCTGAGAGCCAGTGTGGCATTGTGGTTTGAGCGTTGGACTATGACTCTGGAGACCAGGGTTTGATTCCTGGCTCAGCCATTGAAACCCACTGGGTGACCATGGGCAAGTCACACTCTCTCAGCCTCAGAGGGTGGCACTGGGAAACCTCATCTGCAGAAACTTGCCAAGAAAATACCATGACAAGTTTGCCTTAGGGTTGCCATAATTCAGAAATGATGAAGGCATGCAGCAGCAACAACAACAATATTAGGCAAGCAAAATTTCATTCAGTGGAGTTGCTCTTCATTCACTTTAGCTTAGTGTGAACCCAACATCCTGTATCACCCATTCCAGTCAGTCATGTGTTTGCTGGGGTAAATATTTGACCATTTTCATAGCTCTCATCCATTCCTCACTCCCTCAGAGGCTGAGAGCCAGAATGGGTGCTATGAAGCATTCATACCTGCCCCTCCTCAGTGGGAGAGATTCTGGCCCCATAGCAACTTTGCTAAACAGCCAGGCATCTCATCTTGAGCCCCCATTTCTTCCCCCCCC